GTCAGGGGGTGGAGGACCTGAGGATAATTGGTCTGACTTTGAAAGACAGATGTAAAGAACCTCAACCTTTTCCTTATCCACAGTGGTCATGTTCCCCTGAAGATTCTCCTTAGCCCTCCTCTTCTTGTTAACATATTTGTGAGAAGGTTTTGTTCGTTCTCTTTTCCTACAGTGGCCAGGTTGAGTTCATGTTGGGTTTTCGTGTTTCTGATTTTCTCCCTGCATGGTCCTGACCACTTCTATGTGCTCGCCCTGAGTTGCCAGTCCCTTCTTCTACAGGAAGCAAACTCTTCTTCTCGCCTGGAGCCTCAGCAAAAGTTCCCTGTCCTTCTCTGTCGGCTCATTTTACAGCATAGAGGGACAGCCTGCTCTTGTGCCCCTAAGACTGTGGAATACAAGAAAACCTGTTCCGAGCAGCAGCTGTGGAGCAAGATAAACAGCATGAGAACCAAGGACACCTCTAGAAGAAGAAAGAACGTCTCACGGCTCTGACTGGATAAGTGCCTGCAGGAACGGTTGAAGAGTGCTTTGTAGAATGCTCTGTCAATGTGGAGGGGTGGATGGGAAAGCTAGAAGAAGAAAACCTGTAGGTTTGCCAAGGTATGTAAGTGATGTGAGAACTTGTAATAAACGACTTGGACCATTCACATCTGAGTGCGTGCATCAGATGCTGCATAAGACTTCCTTCTCGAGGAGCGACCAGCCTCCCTGGACCGCCTCGCTCTTCAGGGCTGAATCCCAAGGGACCCTCCCTACCAGTATCCTGAGTAATTCAAAGCCTGCTCTCCAGAAGCCCAGGGCAGCACTTTTGCTGCCCCCCCCCCTCCTGACTTCACCAAGAAAAGAAAACTCTACCATCTGGTGGTCACTCCGCCCTAGACAGCTCCCGACCTCCACATCTCACACCAGTCCTCCGCTGTCTGTCAACAGCAGCTCTAGCGGGGCACCTTCCTGGTGGGCTCTCTTACCAGCTGCGTCAGGAGGCACACATCTTCCACGCACTCTAGAAACCTCCTAGACTGCTGCTTCGGCACTGTACTGTATCTCCAGCACGTATCAGGGAAGTTGAAGTCCCCCATGAGAACAAAGGCTGGCGATTGCACGATTTCTGCCAGCTGCTCGTCGAACACCTCACCTGTTTCTCCATTCTGGTTAGGCGGTCTGCAGGAGCCCCCCACCAGGATGGCAACAGTGTTGGCCCCCCCCGATCTTTACACACAGGGACTCAACCTGATCATTCCCAGCCCCAAGCTCAACAACACTGAAACACTCTCTAACTTTGAGAGCCATGCCACAACCCCTCCTTCCTTGCCTATCCCCTCCAAAGAGCTTATAGCCCTCCCTTGTAGCAAAACACACGTGGGAGTGATGGCATAAGTCATAGTTTGCCTGCTGCACAATGGCTTCCAGCTCCTCCTGCTTCTAGCACTTGCTGTGTGCGTTGCCGCAGATGCACTTCAGCCGAGACATTGCTGACACCCACAGCTCCTGCGTTCTTCCTCTTCATACCCAATTTCAAGCTCTCAAGCTAGCATAACGTACTCTCAGCACCGGTGATGACATGCCCACAGTAGTGTGTTCAGTTCTGGGCTTCCAACTACAAGAGAGACATGGAGGCCCTGCGGTGTGTCAGGGCAACGGGGCAGGAAGGGGTCTGGAGCAAAGGTGCCATGAGGAGCGGCGGAGTGAACTGGGGTTGCTCAGTGGAGAGGAGGCTCAGGGGAGGCCTCACCACTCCGTACAACTCTCTGGAAGGAGGCTGTAGAGAGGGGGGGGTCAGCCTCTTCTTCCAGGTAACAGCGATGGGACGAGGGGGAACGGCCTCCAGTTGCACCGGGGGATCCCCGTTGGACCTTAGGAAGAACATCTTTGCTGAAAGAGCGGTCGGGCACTGGCACAGCTGCCCGGGGAGCTGGGGGAGTCAGCGTCCGCGGAGGCGTCCCAGAACCGTGGGGATGTGGCACTGAGGGACGTGGGCAGGTGGGGGGTGGGACTTGGTCATCGTAGAGCTCTTGGCCAACCGTAGGGATTCTGTGATCCTGTGGATCGAGTCATTTATTGTAACGAGAGGTGATGAGCAGCAAACAGCCAAAAAGTCATGGAAACACGCAAACACTTGACTGGGATACTGATGGAGCCACAGGCCCGGCAGCACTCAGGTGGGGCCGGGAGGGTGGACGTGTCGCCCAGTGCCGTCAGCAGCACCAACACGCCGGGCTCCAGCGGGGCTGCGTCCGGCACCGGGCCCCTCGCCCTGCGCTGGCTGCAAGAGCCGCCGCCCTCCTGCCTGGGTGCCCTCAGCCCCTGTGAGGTGTGATGGCATCACAGAGGGTGGCACGGAACGGCCATTGTGACACGCGGGGTGCGGAACAGAGCTGAGGCTGCGGGGCTCAGGCCGAGCTCAGTGCGACCTGGTGAGGTGAGCGGGGAGGAAGGGGCTGCCTGAGGCTGCCGAACGAGGAGGCTTCCCCAGCGCTCGGGGGCCTGAGCTGAGAACTCAGCCTCGTCCCGCTTCTCCCATAGGTTGACACGCGGAGGACGAAGCCCAGAACTGCTGGGACAGAGACTCTGCAAGTGGTTGCTGTCACCGCGCATGGTGTGCGCAGGGACACAGGAGGCCGCCGGCTCGATGGAGCCAGGTGAGAGTAAAGAATCCCTGCACGCAGCTCGCAGCTCCCCATTGCCAGGCAGAGAGGGGCTGGGGGTCTGCCTGCGGCGGAGAGGGCAGGCGGGGGCAGGCAGGGCCGCTCTGCTCCTTGGCCGAGCGGCCGCGGCTGAGCTGTGGCTGCCTGCTGGCACCGCTGGGCCTGCAATGCCCCTTCCTCTCCTCAGCCTCTGGCCCTGCCCCTCAGCTGGCACGGCCGGCACGGAGCAGCCCCTGGGGCAGCCCCCAGGGACACCTGGCCCTGCAAGGCGCTCACTGCTGTTACTCTCCCTTCTCCAGCATGCGTGCTGTGTGGCCGAGTGGATGAGCATTCGAGCATCCTTGGGCACAAAGTACAGATCGGTGGATTCTATTTCCATACTTTCTGTGCGGTGAGTTCCCACGTGGCTCCTGACACCTTCCTCCGAGCAGGGATTCCCTGCTTCCTGCCCTAACAAGATCATGCTCTTTCCTCTTGTACAGCTATTTGCCAATGGTCTTTATCAACGTGTGGAAGGCAGTATAAAGACAGGTTTTCGCACAGAAGATCTGGTACGCACCATGAAGCAGGCAGAGCAGACGGTGAGCACCGGACCAGAACAGGGAGCTTTGTGACAGGACAGACATGGCGAGCTTAGCCTGGTCCAAAGAAAGCAATCCCAGCCCTTCCAAGCAGCTCCAAGAGAAATTCCTGCTCTTGCAGACCAGCCCAGTTCACCAGGCAGCTCTGCAGAGTGCCACCCAGCCCTGCCCCCATCCTGTTCCCTGCCCAGAGGTGTGGGGTCTGCTGCGTAGGCCCTGGGGCTGCTGCTGATGGGGGCTGCTCTGCTCTTTCCAGCTCTGCTTCGTTTGTGGCAATCTGGGGGCCAGCATCACCTGCGCAGATCCGGGCTGTGACCGCAGCTTCCATCTCCCCTGCGCCTCGGAGGGTGAATGCGTCACCAAGCACACTGCAGAGTTCAGGTAAGGGCTGCCAGCTCTCACCTGTGAACCTCCACCCCCTGCTGTCAGCACCAGCCAAAGAAGCCAGGAACGCGCTGTGACACCTCCCAGCAGCCTGACAGAGCCACAGCCAAGGCCTGGGGCTCTTTCCTGTTCCTCTGCCCCTTCTCACAGCACTTCTCTCCTTGCCCATCCCTCCCATCTTCCCCCAGGGCCTTCTGCTGGGAGCACCGCCCACACCAGGCAGTGGAGGCAGCACCTGTGCAGGACACGACCTGCATCGTCTGCATGGAGCCCGTGGGTGACAGCAGGTCATACAGCACCATGGTGTGCCCAGCCTGCCGACACGCCTGGTTCCACCGGGCCTGCATCCAGGTAGGAGCCCTCCCCTCACCCTGCAAGCACCGCAGCTGCTCAGCAGCACCAGGCCTGGCTCACACTCACACTGCTTGCGTTTCTGCTGCAGGAACAGGCTCTGCGCGCAGGGATTTTTTGCTTCCAGTGCCCCCTCTGCAGAGACCGGGTCAAGTTTATTAAAGACATGGTCTTTATGGGGATCCGAATCCCATTCAGGTTGGTGTCTTTCAGACAGCTCTTGAGATGTGAGGGCACATGAGCTGTGCCTGCCCAGGGACTGTCCCAGCAGGCCTGGCCCTTTGCAGCCACCAACATGGCCCTCAGCACCATTGGGAATCTCAAACTGGAGACAGGGTGGAGGGGGAGGGATTCCTTGGATTAGTTTTAGCCCTGGGGCAGCGGGTGCTCATCACATTCCCTCCCTTCTCTGGCAGAAGACCAACATGGGAGGACGACAACACCTACGCATCTCTACTGGAGAGGCACAGGAGATGCGATGCCAGCGACTGCCGTTACCCACGCGGCAGGGAGCGGGCAGAGGGAGAGGGGTGAGTTGCCTCAGCAGCCCTCTGGGGCTCTGCGTGGGATCGTGGCCTGGCCACAGCCTGGGGCAGCACGGACTGAGCACCAGAGCCGTGCCGGGCACTCCCTGGCTCAGATCACTTTGTCCTCATGGCCACAACCCCTTGGTTTCCCCAGGCCCTGGCAGCTGCTCCTCTGCAGCTCCTGTGCTGCGCAAGGCACTCATCGGCGCTGCTCCAACTTGAGTCAGAGCACAGCCAGCTGGGAGTGCAACGCCTGTGCCGGAGAGGGCATCGGTAAGAGGCAAACGGCCGCGTGCTGCTGGGCTGGGGCCAGGCGAGGCCTGGCAGCGGCTGCTCAGAGTGGCCTTGCTCAACTCCCTCTAGCCCTGGACAAATGGGAGCCAGTTCCACCCCGTGGCTCTAATTCCGTCCTGCTCACCTTCCTGCCTCCCCTTACAGCCTCCAGCAGCAACTCAGATCTTGCTGAATACAGCACCGTCAGCCAGCAGGAAATGGAGCCATCCCAAGGCTCTGCGACACCAGAGAGGAGCAGCTCCAGCACCACCAGCCAGGCGCCATTGGGGCCAGCTGACTGTTCCCGCGTGCCTGAGAGCGGCGGCCTGTCCAGGCAGCGCAGGACAGACTGGAGGAGAATC